GGAAATTAAGAAGAGAGTGAGCAGCAGTAAGTACTAGAAATAGATATTGTTTTGAAGACTCGGTAATTACGTGAAGTGTTGTTATCGTTAAGTCACGTTCGCTTACAATTTCTAAAGACAAAGATTGGTGTCTTGCCTTAAGATAGAGCAAGACAGCTCACTTAAGATTGCATGATTGATACTCCCTTGGTTAGTAGGCCTTCCTTTGTTTTTACGGAGATTCGCAGAACTCGAGAGAGCCGGCACGCGTTTGTTTATGTGAGGGAGAGGCCCGCATCGTGACAAAGGAACCGCGTTTCTTGATAAACCTGCCAGTCACCGCCAAGGGGGATGCCTCGGGGCGAGGAGGGGATGCGCGCCTTGGTTATGGCTTGCGTTCGGCCGAACTGAGTGTGTGCGTCCTCTCACGCTACGGCTGGTGGCGCGCGTCGTAGTAAACGATGTTGATCGGCCATTTCAATTCTCTCTCTCTATGCATGTCACACATAATGCTAGCGCCATTTTCCTACGCATTTGCTTACGCCCGATCTCCGTGTCACTTCCACAAGAAAACAAATAGCCTAACGCGCACGCAAACAAAATATAAAATACTTTTACCTATTTATTCCCTATTAATTTTAGGTCAAAATGCCCTCAATATGCTAAATGATGCATATAAAAAGATTGAAGACGATCTAGGGGAACTAGACGAGGTGGTAGTAACTCGTTATTGGCAGGCACCTAAGAAAGCTCCGACAGTTTTCTCGTTTTTTTTTCTTCTTTTTATTAATGTTATTATTCTTGATCACCTGCTTTATTATTAATAACATTTTGGTTTAATTATATAATGCACAAATATTGGATATCATTGACATTTTGTTGCGATACAAAATGTATTACTGTTGTGTGTCATTGACGTTTTGTACTTTTTACAGCAAAAATGAAGAGAATTTACACTATCAATATCGGAAGTAATTTTGAAAGTAGTATTAGAATAAATTGCATGATTGTTAACAACATTTAGCATTGCACTTTTCAATCAAAATAGGATTTCATAATGCAAGTGATGGTTTATATAACTTTTTTAATACAGAAATGATATGAGTTAATCACGACTTTAGATAAGGAAAGAAGTGGAGACATGACACACATATCTTACTTTTCTATCTTTTATCACTGCAAACCTGTAACCTTTCCTAGTTACGCATCTAGCAAGCATGAATTCAGATGTGTAGTATGCTAAATAAGTAAATCTAATANNNNCTCAATTATATAGTATCATACCGTAGTATTAAGAGACTTTTCAAACAATGATGAACATATAAAATTGTTATTTAATAAATTGATTTTATTAAAAATAAAAAGTTTCTTGCATGATGTACTAATTGCGGTTGGTGAGGAAAATGTATTGTCAACTGACTGGTTCTATAGAAAATCCTATTTAGTTTTCCTACATCAGTTATCCTGATTTTTTTAGATAGCATGAAATTTAGCATAAACTATAAAAGAGTGTTTCAAAGAATTTCACACAGTGTAGAAAAATAATTTTATTTAAGATAAATATTTGACCCTCCTATTAATGTTGCATTAAATACTATCAAAAAAAACCCAGATATGGGCCTAGAGACCTCTGGCAAAAGTGAAACTTTCAACTCGTATGTTATGAAACTTGGTATAACAGAAACTGAGAAAATCATAGTACACCTAATTTTACTGGATCTTTACGAATCCAATATTACAGTATTGAAAATTTGAATATTACTACGTATTTGAGCACCCGCGTGCATAGAATGCACATAATTTAATATACTACTTATGTAATATGTAATTAGCGTATTCTTAGTACTTTCATGTTTTCTATCATATACGTATTAATACATGTACTAATTGTTTGTCATGTAATGCATGGCTATTCCTCGGGCGACTATATTCGTGACATCTGAAACTTACTTTACTTTTGCTCACTATATAAGTGTGTAATGCACTATTCGTGCATTTTACATGATATTATACATGTGCAATCAATTTTTGTTGAAATTTTTGTGCTTGACAAGTAAAAATTTTATTTTGAAGTTGACTATCGTACAAGTAAAACAATTCACTTTATCTAAATGAGAT